CTTATTCAAACCGGCAGTGGACGTTTTGAGTCATGGCTAAATATTTCAGGGGTAACGCCCAATAGCGTGTAAAATTTTGCATATGTTAGCTTAGTATTAAACTTTAAATTCAGAAATTAACTTTCAACGGCAGTGAGAATAATATGTTTTTCGTGTTAAAGATTCTTAGTATACGTAAACGCAGATTTTCCAGCACTGAGTCATGAGAAAATATATAAGCACTGATCTATTCAATGACAGTTGTGCTCTGAATACACGTACGCTTAGTAAAATAATCGTGGATACGTCTAGCATGTTGGTTAAATGATATCAGCATAACACATTGACTAACCATCAGATAGCCTCTTATAGGCGTTCAGTTATCTGGGGCGCACCGCATAAAAACGGCGGAGGGAAATAAGGGAGAGAGAGGCTTGGGGTGAGGAATAGCACCGGTAGGCTTCATTTTTTGTTTTAGAATCATGGAAAGTGACTTTATCAGACTTTGGCATAATAAAGACAACAGTAAAATAAGTTTTTTTTCAGAATGTTGTCCTAGTTTCGGACATCCCAGGAGGGTCTAGAAATACTCAATCCTTTGAATTTATGCCGTAACTATCCTCCACGTAATCCTTCAATGTTACAGCTGAGTCATCTCAGCAGTACTTAATTTATCGAATTGTACCACGTAAGAGATCAAAGGCGTATGCTCAGTTGCTATGACAACATGAATGATGACACAGTGACAAGACAGCAGGCCGGAGAAAACATTTGCCGAATCGAAAAAGACGTTAAGTGGACTAGAGCACTGTGAGTTGAGGTCATACAGGTTCGATTTCTACACAAGAAACTTACTGTGACTCCATTTGTTAAATTCTTTACACTCTAACGACAAAATTTTCCAAGAAATGTCAAGTATTGATGGTCCAATTGTTTTTATTGCAACTTGTTTTCAACAATCCCTCGAAACCAACCCTACGTGGTCTCCCACGGTTTCCAGCGTCAGAGTGAGATCTGGGTAGTAGATTAACCAAGCTTTATTACACATACCATCATTTCGTGTCAGTGGTAATAACATTTGCGTTTCTCAGTAATATTTTTTATACCTTAATTAATTCTCTTTTCATATAGTTGTTAATGTAAACATTAGTAATTTAAAAAAAAACAAGTTGTACTTCTTTTGTCGAGCATTATCAAAACACGGTGGATCAGTTTTGCCGTCAAAGAAAAATTCAAAATGAATTCTATACTTTTCGTTTTTGTAGTATTGTGTAAAATATTTGTATCTGAAACGATTGCTTGGGATGAAAACTCTTTATCTCGTCCCGTAATAACTCGTAATCATCGCCGGCTTAAAGGCTTCACCTTCAACACATTTCACTCTGTCAGTCTGGTATCTTGTGGCTTGAAGTGTCAAAGAAACCCTCGATGCGTTTCAACAAATTTCCGGAAAAGTTCCAATTTGGACGAGACTGAGGGAGTTTGTGAACTAAACGACAGAGGAGTAGAGTCGCCTATGGAAGGAAAAGAGCTACAATATGATGAAGAAACAGTATATTCTCAATTTTACGATATAAAGGTAAGAGAATCACTTATTTAGTTTGAGAAAAGACAAACAACCCGACTTGAGCTTTTTGTTAAGTTTGAAAGTGGAACTAAACGTAAACTGTATAAAGTTGCTAGATAAGGTTTGGATTTTGGTATGGCTGTACATTTTTGAAAATATTCTTAATCATATGTTGAAGGATTTTCTGATTTTTTTCTGATCAGAATTCAATCACCTTGACCGGTAATTACAATTGTCTTGTAGGATATGTCAAAGTCGGGTTTTAGATTAAAATTAAAGCTAGAGAGAAGGTAAACAGTCAACATATGTGTTATCACAAAAGTCACAAAAGCTGACATTAAATGTACTGACGTATTCAAATAAATAGAAGAATTTTTACTGTCAAAAAGAATATCTGAGAGAGTCTGAATGGGAGGATCTCAGTTTAGAGTTATCAACACCGTCATGTAAATGTTGATTAAATAAATATTAAAATTGAATTGATAAAACTTTGCTTGCATTATGATTACCCACGATATATTATTCATTTATATTTGACTGGAAGTTTGTTTTTATATGGACAAAATACATTACTCTTTTATCCATATCACAAATAGATCACTTGTGTCGACATAAATCCAAAGTGTGTTATAACAGTTCTCAGAGTTGTCGGAATAAATCTGACAACTCTGAGAAACAAGCAACTGGAAAAAACATTTGATAACTTTTTAAACTTTGTTTTGTTTATTATTTAATATAAAAACGCTTCTATACCAAAGGCCATTTCTGAGTTTACCCATTGCCTCTGTGTGAAAACGAGGCTTAGTACTAAACCGTCCCTATGCTGCCTCCTCCACAGGATTTTCTTTTTTTTTTTTCTTAGCGCAAGGGGCGATAGGGAGTCTGGGAGTGAGCAAGAATGCGCGAGCGGGAGCTGATAGCGAGTGCGGAGCGCGAGCGTAGGGAGTGATGGGAAGGACAAAAGAGGGAAATTCCCTGCGCCCCTTCCCACTAGTTAATTATTGTATTTTTCACTATCGTGTGAACGACTGGGGACGAGGCAGACCCCTATGAAAATATGTTTCACCTGCCCTTTCGTTTTCATACAAATAAAGACTCATGCACAAAGACTCGTTTTGAAACGGAGGCAAAAGCAACTCGTGAATGACCCATTAAACACACCTACTTTCTAACACCTCGTCTAGAATGATCGTACAATTTTTTGCACACTTTTATTTTTCTACAGCATGACTGTCAGCTGACCGGCTGTTTGAATGCGGGCTCATGGGAGTTCATTGAAGTGTCCAAACTGTTCAAACGCAAGTGTAAGGATGCCTGGAGTGGGAACTATTGCGCAGGTGCGGTGTTTATAATTAAGGGGGGGGGGGGTAGATGGGTTTGAAACGGTCTTATATTAAGGTTTTCAAGAATTTTGGGTATGGAAAAGAGACTAGTTTTATGCGAAACAGCACAAAGATCATCGAAATGTAAAACTGAGTTTCCTTGAAACGTTATGAAAAATAGACTGGAGAGATTAGCCAGCCATAGACTCCTATAAACTTTACCCGAATAAAACATTGGCAACACATGTTGGTGAAACATTTCTTACTATACTTCTCCTGCAATCAAAAAATAAATAAGCTTGAAGACTTAGAAATTCTTATCTTTCATAGATGTTAGCCACTGTGTACAAATTCCTTGTCGGAATGGTGGGTCATGCAGAAATCTTGCCGAGGGCCACAAATACAGCTGTACCGCGGTATATGCCGGCAGGCACTGCGAGCAAGGCATGTCAAAAGATATTTCTTGTTTTACTAAGCAATATAACAATTTCGAAATATCAAAATTCCAACATGGCCGACTAAAATGAGGGAAATCATTTCTTCATCCCTCAACCTCGATGCTATGTTTTCTTTCTCTACGAGTAACACCTCAGTGATTGTGTTTCTCCTTTCCCCCTTTCATTCAATTATAACCGGGTAAGGCTACAGGTGGGAGAAGTTCAACGATTTCTTTCTTGAGAAATGCGCAAAAGTTAAGATAATCACCAAAGTTTCTGAAATTAGTAAACATATTTGAGATGAACTTAAGGTGTGACGTATGTTGCCGGTTTACGAAACTCGGCTCTTTCATCATTCAGTGTGTCCAGTACCCCTGGGTATGGAAGACCGCACAATTCTTGACTCGCAGATAAGCGCCTCATCAGTTTTTGCCGGGAATTACGCTGCCCAACAGGCCAGGTTACACTTTAAAGCTGGCGGAGGGAAGACTGGGGGCTGGTCAGCTAAAACGAATGATGACAATCAGTGGCTGCAGGTGGATCTTCAACAAACGACAAGAATAACACGAATAGCGACACAAGGAAGAAACGGATATACTCCTGGACAGTGGGTTACACAATACAAGCTGCAGTATGGCGAATGGAGATCATTCATATACGGTGTGGTTCAATAGTTTTTGGTCAGATTTCTCTTTTGACGTAGCACCACATTTGTCCATTTTCCTGTTTCTTGACGTTTCGAACACCGCGTTCATCATGTCAGAAATTGGGAAAAAGCAAATGTAAAAGTCTATTGTCAGGTTGAATGTTGATCAGCAAAGCACAAACTAAATATAACCAACCAACAAATCAAGATTCAAAGCACACAGGTAATGCTAATTTTTTAATGCTAATTTAATGTAATTCAATTCAATGTAATTTAATTCTAATCGCACAAAATAAAAAAAGGTGGTGGCTTAAACTAAACATGCATCAAACTCGGAAAAGCGGTTGGAGAACTTCTAACAGACAACGACGGTAACGGCAACGAGAACGTCAGCAAACAAAAAGTTTAATGAGCAGGACAGTGGCTGCGCACGCGCATTATAAATCTTTGTACATTTTGTAGCTGTTCTCTGCAAAACGACGAACGTGAAATGACCAAGTTCTGTGTTTTTGGAGAACGTGAGCTACGACCGCTAATTTTTTCGCATTTTCTTTAGGAATTGATCGCTGGCTTTACATATTTAGTTTAAGGTCATTCCTTTTCACTCAGAGTTTTCAGGGGAACACAGACACGGATACAGTTGTTTGTCATGACCTTAAGCCGATCATTGAAGCTCGCTACATTCGGGTCCGTCCAACTAAGTGGAACAGTCACATATCCATGAGAATGGAGCTCTATACTTGCTAGGGTGAGGTTACCTTGGAAAAAAATGTATGGCATGAACATGATTAGGGGTTTTTTAAGATAGCTTACCACATTTTTGAGTGAGTAAAAGAGCCCAACTGTTAAGTCTTTTGTGAAATATCCCAAATTATTTTTTCTTCCTTTAATTGGCTATTGTTTGCCAAAGTATTTGACCATAACGGTACAAACGATAAATCATAGCCAAAATGAACGCCCGACCGCTTAAGGGAAAACTGGGCGCTAAAGCAGTTCGATCAATTACCAACAGTCGTTGAGGAAGTTAAAAACTGGGTTACGGGAAGAATTTTCAGGAAGTCCTACATAACAAAAAACATGTGAATGCCACTTCCAGCCAGAATTTTATTTTTCTTTTATATCTCTTTTGTTAAAATCTGTTAAGGTCTTCTGATGCTGTTATCGAAGGTTTTAGAAGAATCTAGACAATCTAGTCCCAGAACCACTTTCGGCTAACAATACACGGGCGACTCTGGGAACCAGAGCCACTTGCTAGTTCCCAGTCTTCGTTCGGGATGTATGCCTGCGGATATTTAGCTCCTCACTGTACTCTCTGTGCACACAAAAGAGCGTTTGATTTGAAGTTGAATGAAATAAACTAGACATGTGATGTCGTGGCGCTGAGCGAGAGAAGGAGTGGAGCGATCAAGATAACAGACTACTCGCGTCGGGTTTTCTCTTATGGTCCAACGAGTGTATATTAATCCGTGTTTGGCGTTTTATTGCTTGTGAGTGCAGCGCCCATCCCGTCTCAATCCCTTTTAAGCCAAAACTTCTCTCCTCATACTTCCTGCCTAACGTCGATAGAAAAACAGACTGTCAGCAGTCTATCAAGCTAGCGACACGGTCAGGCTAGATTTTCTGTGCACAGAGACGGTAGTTGATAAAGCTAGCATGATATTAGATCTCAAAAGATTAAAAGTCAAGTTATTGAACTAATTTGATAGCTTTTACTGTCAATGCAAAACAATTCAAAACACTTGACGCTGTCATTTTTTCCTTGTTACAGGTTTTCCGACAGTCACAAGTATACACCACGTAGGACGGACTCTCAATCAAGGGGTGGTGCACAGAGAAATTCAGTGTTTCTTTCCTCTAATAGCTAATCAAAGTCATAATGCGACGGTTATAGCGTTTATTGCCTAGCAATGCAGCAGAGCAAGTATAGCTAAAAGCGGATAGATGTGAAGAAATATAAAATTAAAACGTTTCCGTAAAAAGAATCAAAACTAAGAAAAAAATCAATGAATGATGCTTGCGACTTCCAGAGAAACAAAATTGAGAAGAAATTCTTTAACTCTATTTTTACCATACAAAATGATCTTTGTTTGGCTGATTGAGACACCGAAAAGACAATAAAAAACCAAAATAATGAAGGGGAATGGTTAAGATTGGATACGAAAGAGACAGTTGGCTAACGCCAACCTCGTTCCCAGGCTCTCTCCCTTCTGCCTCCCTTGGTCGTTAGAAGAAAGACCCTGTTTGCGACTGGTCACATGACCGCCTGTGACACAAAATTTTCCATGGGGGTAGAGTCATCGAATAACTTTTGTCGATCTCAACTGAGGCGAAAGAAAGGCGATCGCTGAGGTGGTCATCGCTATATTAAACCACGCACGGGTAAATATACACTTTTGGAATTCTCCAGCCTTATTCTAAGCTTCACACAGGTCAAAAGAAATATATTAACATATATCCAGCGTATTGAAGTATCACTCTGATTTCAATTCCAACCGGTCGAATTACAAAGAAGTAAAACTGTTTCGCTGACGTTTTATGTTGCCTGAATTAACCTCACGGCACACTGCTCGTTATATAAAGCGGTGTTTTATTTACCATTTTGCAAAATATAATTCTTGACTAGGCCAAGGGGCCGTGTTTAAACATCTGTCTAAATATAAACTTACATAAACCTGATACAAATGAAATATAAGTGCAGGCTTATGTCAACAAAACTGTAAATTATTTTACATTGCTGTAAATCAAATGCAAGTCAGAATACTCGGCTAATCGGCCGTGTAACACAAATACTTTTTAACATCCAAAATACCGCACAAAGAAGAAATTAAGGTAGTTACCCTGAAATAAAACTGTCAACAGATTTTTGTTCAAACTTTGTCCACAGAATATTTATCATATGAGAACTTTAATTATAAAATAAAAAAAAGGGGGGGGGGTGCCCATGCTCGTTAAGGAGCAGTGAGGCATT